TAAATTATATCAGATAACATTTACGAGCAAAAAATGGCGTTCATTGCGAATCCTGCATTTCGTAGAATAATATAAGTCAATAAAGTCAATATGGTATATTGACAGACTGAATGAGGAAAATTTCGAATTGTCCTATGCAAACAGCCTTCCACGTTTCTGTACTTCGTAATACTTCACGCGCGATAGATAATATTAGAAGATATTTATATCCAAAGAAATGGCCGTCATTATGATCCCCGCTATACGTAGAATATTATTAGGCCATAAAATCGATATGATACATTGACAGAATGAATGTGGAAATCTTTGAATGGTCATATGTAAATTTCATTCTATGTACCCGAAACCCGTAATATTTCAGGCTCGTTAAATTGTAGTAGATGATATATGCAAACAAAAATGGCGTTCATACGCGCAATGCATAAAATTGTATAAGACAATTAATTTGATATTGTATGTTGACAGAAAGAATGTGGGAAATTTTGAATTGGCATATGTAAACATTTCTGTACTCCATAATGTTTCAGCACGGTAGATGCTATTTATGTACAGAGAAAAGATCGTTATTGGGAACTCCGTGAGGCATAGAATTTTTTTAGGCCATAAAGTCAATATGATATGTCGACAGTATATATGTAGAAAATTTGGAATAGTCATATGTAAACATAGCTCCACATACCGGAAATCCGTAATAATTCAGGTTCAATAAATGACATTAGACGATGATATTTACATTAAAAACTGGCGTCCTTTGCGAATCCTACGATGCGTAGAATAATGTTAGACAATAAAATCGATATGAAATATTAGCAGAATTATTGTGGAAGATTTTGTATGGTCATATGTATACCTCAATCCATGTACCGGAATTCCGTGATATGTCAAGCTCGTCATTCAAAATTAGATGATACTTACAATCAAAATGATTGCGTTCACTACGAATCCCGCAATGCTTAGAGTGATATAACATAATAAAATCGATATGGTACATCGACAGGATGAATGTGGAAAATATTGTATTGATATATGTAAACAACATTCTACGTTGCCGTACTCCGTAATATTTTGGGCTCGATAGATAATATTAAATGATAGACATGTACAAAGAAATTGTGGTTATTGTAAACCCTGTGTTGCGTAAAATGCTAATCGGCCATAAAATTGATATGATATATAGATAAAATAAATGTGGAAAAATTTGAATAGACTTATGTAAATTACATTCCACGTTGATAAACTGCGCAAAGTTTCAACACAAACGCTATTAGATGATGTTTATGTACAAAAAAAACTGTGGTCATTGAGAAATAATGATGCATAAAATGTTATAAGGCAGATATGATATATCGATAGTGTCATGATTTAAACGCGACATTATATCACGGTTTAAACACAAAATAATAAGACTGTACTTGGTTTACTAATTCGTTGACTAATTGTGTGGTGACGTAAACAAAGGAATTTTTTAAGAGTAGGCGTCACATTGGCATAATCAGAAATGAAAAAAACTGATGAAGCGGTTAAAGATGACCCTCAGCGGCCCTCGGCAGTTACATGAACAGCTTCTCTCCGAAATCTATACTTTTTAGTTTAAAACAGAAAATCAAAGGAGACTAGAACAACAAATGGAAATCCTTATGGCTAACAAGAGTGAAAAATTAATTTTTTAAGGAAACAAGTGCTTGATTTCTGTCAAGACACGACCAAGTTGTAATCTCAAAGATCATATCGGGCAAAACTCACTCACCAGTATCTTCTCAATTAGATGAATTCAACCAATAAGAGAACATAATGTTCGAGAATATCCATGACAGTTATCTAATATTGGAAATAAATTCGAATAAAAGTAGCTTGTAGTCTACATTTATTCACAGATGATCAAAGTTAAAGAATTACCTGAATCAGCTGCAATTTCGACTATTTCAACCGCGAAAAATATAAATATTAGTGTTAATCTTCATTGCAGAAATGATTTCTCTACACTCAATGTTGCTGCTATGATATTAATTAGTATCAGTTTTAGATCATTTGGTAATCTGACCTGATGGAACTTGAATATCAAACTAACATTTTTGTTTCTTATAAATTTACGGTTTCAACGTCGCATACATAAAGAGAATAAAGAAATATTAATACATAATGCTATTAATACATATGCTATTAATACATATGCTAGGCTTATTGTTAATAACAGTAATAATATTAGTGTCAGTATTCATCACTCACATATCTAGTTCGAATAATTTATCTTCTCATTGTAAAACAAACGAGGCAGAGAAACTTCCAGCTTTCTTATGGTGTCCCAAAATTACATAAGGACATCGTCAAAGAATAAATCTAATGAAAAATAAATCCAAAGAATAAATCTACAGAATGAATCTAAATTTACCATCAAATCTTTAGGTAAGGAAATTTAAATTCAATTCAAGGAAGTAAGTGCATTTCTTACATTCAAAAACGATCTAAAAGAAAGGGAATGACAATTTTGTCCTGAAGTGGGTAATCTACGAGTTTTCAATAATTTTAATTGTAGGTATCTTAAATATTATAAAAAATTCGAATAAAATGATTAGAACTCAATCTCATCAATCTCTTCAGTGGTTATTATATTTCTTGTAGTATATCACAACAACCTTACTACACTATTCTCTTTGAACTCGGGTTTTATGTGTAAGTATATGCTAATGCTAATATTCATCAAGCTAAGGATGTTCCCTTTTCATAACTGAATAATCTACTGCTACGAAAAATCATCGTGGCAACAGGTATTTTTGATATCATCTATCATGAAATTTATTCCAATCACCTTTTTTTGTCATTTTAATATACTGTGATATAATGTGACCGTTCTCTTAGTCATGAATAGCATTTTTATATCATTTTACATTAATACTAGGTTCTCTCTCAAGAAAATACTTGCATGCTCAACATCTTTCAACAATTTCCTCCTAGTTCACATATTTATAATTAATACTAAGCAGTTTGTTATTTTTGTTCTAATTTACTCAGTCGTTATTTACCATTTGACCAATATCCTGAGAAAGTTTGGTTCAAGGAAAATGTTTGTTGTTTTAAGTAGAGGATTTGTCAAATTTATATTTACGGCATGGATACTAATTTACTCGATGCTTCCTATAATACTTAGGTTTGTACTTAAATGAAATCTTTTACTTGAAATGTCAAAGTTTAACAACTTTATTTCCTTTATTTACTTGATGTTTCTCATATCTAATATTCTTATAATATGGAAATACATGTTAGTTGTCAAGAAAATTATGCTTATAAAGCAACCTCATATCTACTGCTACCCCAATCTTAGGATTATCGTCTATCCTGTGTGTAGTATTTTTTACATTTATATTTGTTGTTTTCAATTTTTTTTCTAGATTTAATTATAGTTTATCTTTATAAAACTTTAAATTGCAAATTTAAGAAAATTACTAGAATTAATTAATCAAAAACTTACATTAACAATTGTCAAATGCTTGAAATTCAACTTTTAAGGAGTAGTAAAAATTTTAAGTTATATTAAACTGTTAATCTTCAAAATTAAAAAAATATTTTGTTATATAAATTTTAGTTTAATATATATATATATATATTTCAATAGTTCTGCGAAACAATACTATTTGATTGAAGTATAACATTAAAAGAATTAATGTCTTCATGAATAAATTTACAATTTACCTCTTTTATCAGACATAATGTTTACATTTTGGGTCAATTAAACCATTAGTAATAAGATATTAAACATATTTAATAGTAAATTTAAATAAACAAGTGACTTATGTCAACTAACCACAAAAATATTGGTGTTCTATATATAATCTTTGCTTTGTGATCGGGTATAGTAGGATCTTCTTTCAGAATATTAATTCGAATGGAACTTAATAGTCCAGGAACTTGAATTAGAAACGATCAGGTTTACAATTCAATTATGACAAGCATGCATTTCTAATAATTTTCTTTATAGTTGTACCCTTTATAATCGGGGGTTTTGGAAATTTTCTTATCCTATTAATACTAGGATCTCCGGATATAGCATTTCCTCGAATAAACAATATTAGATTTTGACTATTACCTCCTTCAATTATTCTACTAATGCTAAATAATTTCTTTTTCCCTAACTCAGGAACTGGATGAACAGTTTACCCACCTCTTTCTCTTTATATATACCGTTCTTCTCCGTCCGTGGATCTAACTATTTTTTCAATTCATATGACCGGGATTTCATCCATTCTTGGATCGCTTAACTTTATTGTAACAATTTTTATAAGAAAAAATCTCTCATTAAAGTACGATCAAATTAATCTATTCTCCTAATCTATTTCAATTACTGTAATTTTACTTATTCTTTCTTTACCAGTACTAGCAGGAGCAATTACTATACTACTATTTGATCGGAACTTCAATACCTCTTTTTTTGATCCAATAGGTGGAGGAGATCCTATTCTCTACCAGCATCTTTTCTAGTTTTTTGGACATCCTGAAGTCTACATTCTTATTCTTCCTGGATTTAGACTGATTTCACAAATCATTATAAATGAAAGAGGGAAAAAGGAAATTTTTGGGAATCTTAGAATAATCTATGCAATACTAGGTACTGGATTCTTAGGATTTATTGTTTGAGCACATCACATATTTACTGTAGGACTTGATATTGATACTCATGCATATTTTACTTCTGCCACTATAATTATTGCAGTTCCCACTGGAATTAAAGTTTTTAGACGGCTTGCAACTTATCATGGCTCAAAGATTAAGTTCAATATTTCTTTTATATGGTCAATTGGATTTAT